CCAGCCACAGCAAGCTAACAATCTCGTGATCACCCAGTTGGGCCGCAACATGCAATGGATACCATCTTTCCTTGGGCCAAGTCCAAGGTCAAAGTGGAGGATGAAAGTGGCAACCCAGCTGACAAACTGTGGATGCAACCCGGCATATTTTAAAACACACAAAAATATCCAAAAACGGTTCGATGCTTATTTGGCCAACCCAGGTGGAACTTTACCTACAAATCACAACTCTGGCTGGTGCTTGATCAATATCACGACAAATGGCTACTCCCACTCCCACCCAATGGCGCGTGCAATGGTGGCCGCATGGGTAGCCAATGGCCCTTGCAAGGCTCAAGCCCCACGACTAGTGGCTATAGAGAAAATGACGTGTGTGTGTGTCATAATGGTTCCCCTAAAAAAAACAACCGTTCTTGGCTACAAACCGTATCTGTATGGCCATGTATGTACAACTATTGTAACTCTCTTCAACTTGTTGGGTAAAAACATGTTAAGGACCGAGAGTTCTGTTGTTCAAATCGCTTCAGTCGAATGCGCCAAGCTTCCAGCTGAATCGTTGAGTCGGAGTCCCCCAGCTGCCGCTGACTATGGGGGCTAGAGAAGCCTCAGCTCAATAGGTCTAGGGCTGGACTCTTTGGACGCAAAAATCCTACAACGTGGTGCCCCAAGATAGAAAATTTGGTACTACAATAACTAGGATTTATGTGGAATATGACTATAATTAGATGGGTTATAAAATGTTATAACTGTTTGAAACCAACTTAGAACCAGGGGTCCCACTATGTAACAAATCCTGGGGCCCAACAGCCAGGTATTCCAAAATCAAGATGCCATGGCGTTGGAGAAAATCCAGCAGGTAGCTGTTCTGAGTGAGAGCCCTTCGTATCGCAAAAGTGGTCTCCTTAGCACTGCATCGAATCAAGCCAAGGCCAACGGCCCAAGCAAATTGCATCTTTTCGTTAACAAATTATATAGAAGTTATGCGCGGACATCATGCACATATACATGTACATATGCATAGTGTAATTAATTATACCCATGTGTGTGTATATGTAGGTGCACAACTGTGCACACACATAGTACGTAGTGCATATTATTTATAATATGATATAATCATTATGTAATCATATGTAATCTATATATGATTGCATGTCGTTGGTGTGTGTGTGTGTATGTGTGTGCATCCATAATTCATACTCCGCCTATGGCTGGACCAGCATCTGTGCGATCGGGCTTGAGGCCTCCTGCAAGTGTCTCAGGATCACCAGTGTTATAAACGCTTCCTCTGCGTCGTCAGGGTGCCACGGGCTGTGAGAGGCAAGGGACTTGTTGTTTCGTGTTGTTTCTTTGTACAACAATATTGTTGCGTTCAACCAGTCCTGGAAACTCCTGGGGTAACTATGTGCCCCTTTTGTGGATTTGACATCCATGAGAATCAACAAACAAGACAATATAGAGCGAGTATGAATGAGCAAGATTCTTGTAGAATGTCAACTCACCCAATGTCGAGAGGCCGAAATAGGCCAAGTCAGGACATGTAGTCAGGACATATCCGGACCCACAGCATTTGCCACTTTCTCTCTCTCCCTCTCTCCGTTCTTTTTTTCTCTTCTCTCTCTTTTCTCTCTTTTTCGCTCTTTCTCTTTCTCTCTTTTCTCTCTTTTCTCTCTTTTCTCTCTTTTCTCTCGTTTCTCTCTTTTCTCTCTTTTCTCTCTTTTCTCTCTTTTCTCTCTTTTCTCTCTTTTCTCTCTTTTCTCTCTTTTCTCTCTTTTCTCTCTTTTCTCTCTTTTCTCTCTTTTCTCTCTTTTTCGCTCTTTCTCTCCCTCTCCCTCCCTCCCTCCCTTTCTTTCCTTCCTTCCTTCCTTCCTTCCTTGCTTGCTTGCTTGCTTGCTTGCTAGCTTGCTTGCTTGCTTGCTTGCTTGCTTGCTTGCTTGCTTGCTTGCTTGCTTGCTTTTTCTTTCTTTTTTTCTTTTTTTCTTTCTTTCTTTCTTTCTTTCCTTTCCTTCCTTCCTTCCTTCCTTCCTTTCTTTCTTTCTTTCTTTGCTTGCTTTCTTTCTTTCTTTCTTTCTCTCTCTCTCTCTCTCTCTCTCTGGTAATTGCTTGCTAAGATTTATTCAGGCGCTAGCTGACTGACCTTGGGTGAACTGCAACTTTTTGCATCTTGGTCCTGAGGTATGACCAGCCCTCTAAAACTAAACAGCATATACAGCACAGCACCTACAAGCCGAGAGACTTCCAGCATATTGACAACACCATGTGCATGAAAAACTATCCTTTTTTCCCCACCTGCCAGGTGAGGGTTGTTAGATTTTATCAGAGCTGTTCTCCTCATCCTCCTTCTCCTCCTCCTCCGCCTCCTCCTCTTGCTCCTCCTCCGGTTTCTCCTCGACCATGTCTGCATCAACTTCCACGTCCACTTCCGCCTTGCCAACTCGTCGCCAATCTCTTCGCCAACTTCCGCGCGCAGTGGGCACTGCCGGACCTCAACTGCCGGCTTCCGATCTGAGTGGGCACGGCTGGACCTCAACCGCCAGGTTCTGAGCGCAGTGGGCACCGCTGGACCTCAACTGCCGGCTTCCGAGCCCAGTGACCTCAACCTGGGACCTTCAGAGCTGTGGGCACCGCTGGACCTCAACTGCTGGCTTCCGAGCCCAGTGGGCACCGCTGGACCTCAACCTGGGACCTTCAGAGCTCAGTGGGCACCGCTGGACCTCAACCTGGGACCTTCCGCGCTCAGTGGGCACCGCTGGACCTCAACGGCCAGATAGAATGCCAGAAGATATGCCAGATAGAATGCCAGAAGATATGTCAGATAAAATGCCAGAAGATATGCCAGAAGATATGCCAGATGGAATGCCAGAAGGTATGCCAGATAGAATGTCAGATAGAATGCCAGAAGGTATGCCAGATAAAGTGCCAGAATGTTTGCCAGATAGAATGCCAGAAGATATGTCAGATAAAATGCCAGAAGATATGCCAGAAGATATGCCAGATGGAATGCCAGAAGGTATGCCAGATAGAATGTCAGATAGAATGCCAGAAGATATGCCAGATAAAGTGCCAGAAGATTTGCCAGATAGAATGCCAGAAGATTTGCCAGAATGTTTGCCAGATAGAACGCCAGAAGATTTGCCAGATAGAATGCCAGATAGAATGTCAGAAGATATGCCAGAAGATATGCCAAATAGAGAGCCAGAAGATATGCCAGAACAAATGTCAGAAGATATGCCAGGTAGAATGCCAGAAGATATGCCAGATAGAATGCCAGAAGATATGCCAGATAAAATGCCAGAAGATATGCCAGACGATATGCCAGATAGAATGCCAGAAGGTATGCCAGATAGAATGTCAGATAGAATGCCAGAAGATATGCCAGATAAAGTGCCAGAATGTTTGCCAGATAGAACGCCAGAAGATTTGCCAGATAGAATGCCAGATAGAATGTCAGAAGGCCAGATAGAACGCCAGAAGATTTGCCAGATAGAATGCCAGATAGAATGTCAGAAGATATGCCAGAAGATATGCCAAATAGAGTGCCAGAAGATATGCCAGAACATATGTCAGAAGATATGCCAGGTAGAATGCCAGAAGATATGCCAAATAGAATGCCAGAAGATATGTCAGATAAAATGCCAGAAGATATGCCAGATGGAATGCCAGAAGGTATGCCAGATAGAATGCCAGAAGGTATGCCAGATAAAGTGCCAGAATGTTTGCCAGATAGAATGCCAGAAGATTTGCCAGATAGAATGCCAGATAGAATGTCAGAAAATATGCCAGAAGATCTGCCAGATAGAGAGCCAGAAGATATGCCAGAACATATTGCAGAAGATATGCCAGGTAGAATGCCAGAAGATATGCCAGATAGAATGCCAGAAGATATGCCAGATAAAATGCCAGAAGATTTGTCAGATAGAATGCCAGAAGATTTGCCAGTACAAATGTCATGTTGGGGATAACTCGAAGTAAAGTAATTTGTTCTGCATTTCTCTCAATGGGCTTGTCTCAAAATAGGGTGCCCCAAATCCTTTGGTTCCCATTAATCCTGCCATGTTTGGAGCATGTTCGGAGCAGCCTGTGGACCCGTTGTGGAGCGCGTGGCTTTTTGCGAAAGAGCTCCCAGATGCTTCGAATGACCATCGCCCCCGACCCGTGCGCGTAATGTTCGAAGGAACACTCCCAAGGAAAATTGTCTTAACAAAGGCTTTGAACAAGGCTCTGGTGACCCAAAACAGGCTCAAGCTCGAAGAAAAACAAGGTTCACAAAATTGTAATGCTAACTGCTAACCTTCCTATTCCCATGGCATTCCAATTGTAGTTTTCCTCCACGTTTCGGCCCTTCAAATTCACCATGCTCTGTTGCTTCATGGTATGTCGTGAAACTCCGTGGCAGACAGCAGCGACGGTTGTGAGATGCCACCGGGAAGGGGAATGATGCCCCGGTGGCCCGGTGGACTGTACTAATTACAAGCGGGGGAAATGATGGGAAATGGCTAGATGCGGCTAGATTGATGGCCTTGTGGCTATAATTTGTCTTTCATGGGAGTTGGAGCAAGGCTGTAAAACAGGGGCATGATAGGGGGATGATCCGGGATGTATGTTTGTGAAAGTGTGACTGAATGTGACTGAGACATTTGTACCATTTGTCATATTTTGTCACAATGGCAACTTTCGCAGGGTTGGAAGTTATTGAGAAAAACAAGATGCACCGGAGGCAACATGCTAATTGCTGAAATTCACGCTCATCTTAATGTATCTTAATCCTTCATGCTCAACTGCATGGGTCCAATGCATTAATCATGTCTGATTGCGGACACAAAAAGGGAAGGTTCATGTGGGCCCAACAACAAAACCTACCATTTGGAAGTGGTTTATAGCATCCATGTTATGCCACATTAGCCGTATGAATTTGGTTTGGGGATGTTACAAAAGTATCAACCAGCCATCTCCGTTATCCAAATATCACTGCGGTTTCACCCAGCTATTTCATCATGTCCAACCTCTGCCAAACGACCGGAGCAAGCCATGGCGAGATGTGGGGGTGTGCACAACCCCGTTGGAACATGGAACATTGGAACATCATGGAACTATGCGGGATGCATATGATACATTGAGTTGCGCATTGAACAAATATTGTTACCTCACTCTGTGGAATTCCTTGGCGTTTTTATAGCACTCGTGAAACAGTATTCTGTCAGTTGAATACGTTGAACCTGGGACATGTCCATGGCTATCTACCGATGGAGTCTGAACCAAGGACAAAAGGTGACCAGGTTGGATCCCTGTGGATGATTATGTCGATGGATTCTGGCACCTTAAATCATGTTGATGATTCATGATGATTCTCCGTGAGGTGGTTCTGAGGTCGCCTCATCTTCTTCAGCATAACAATGTGCATGTATACGTATATATATATAGATTATATAGATACATAATATATATATATATATACAACTATATAGTATTTATAATGATTCTCAATGGTTTTGGTATGTCAGCAGTCCAAACAAATCCTTACCATTCACGTCTTTTCTCACCATGCGCCACTCGTTTGTGGATCGGCTCGGCCTGAAGCGAAGAGAGGGGAGTGCTGTAAGGGGGAACCCTTCTGACATGGGTCACCTTTGATACCCATAGAGGAAACACTGCAAAACATGTATACATATATAGTATATAATAAGATATGCAAATGATAGATATAACTATGAATACTATATATAATATGCATTCATTAGCATTATATAATATTTAATTAATCATTTAATATGTTTTTTAATGATTTTTAATGCGTCGACTAAATATACTGAATATTACTAAATAATGCTTGGTCCGCCTTCATAGGAAGAAAAGGTGACCCTCTTTTCCTGACCCTCGCCACGACAAAGCTGGGGCCACTTTAAGCGCTTGGGTTCAAAGAAATGGCGGAACTGGACCAACCATGGGAACAACAACAGTCGCATGAAACAAAACCACACCAAAATACACAAGACCAAGGATGCTGTGAGCCATATCTTTCAATAGTTTTCAATCAGTGATTGTACAACTGGCTGTTTGATGTTTGGGCGTCCGAGCTGCCACACCAAGAGCCCGGGCTACGCCTAAGGGATGGGATATGGCAGGATACAAGTGTGAAGTTGCCGGCCCTGGTGCATCGCAATCCAATCCGCCATTGCTCTGCTGAAGCGAAAATTGTGAAAAACATGTGGTTTCTTTATGAGACCACAGAAAACTTTGTACATCTTTGCACATCTATGAACAGTGGAAAGGAACCAGGCTGAACCGCTCCCACTTGCAATCACATCTCCACTATGCTCGTAGAATAATCTTGGAGGGCGGATAGGTTTAGTGGAATGTGCCTTGAACTTTTCCATGCAGCCTGTGGGTTTCAAACTGGTTCCTGTTTGAATCTGAGCTGCTACATCTTCTGCTCCAAAGCATATAGCAAATGCTCGAACCTAACAAACCTACCTGTACCTAATCTTTGCCAGAGGAGACCCATCGAACAGAATCAGCAGTATCCAACAAACATATATTTTTTATATGTATTCATCAGGATAACTTAACTGGTGTGTTTTGGTTCCAACATGTTCCAACTCCATCTAAGCGGATTTCTACCACCATGAAATGTAAGCTAAGCGCTGCCCTCAGGCGAAGAAAAGTCTTCGGATCCTGAATTTGCCATGGGACCCAGTGGGACCCAGTGGAGAAAAATATGGAGATCACCAAGTCACGGGCCTCGGAAGTGCTAATTTTTTTAAAGTCACGGCTTGCTGTTCAGAGACTGGAACACAGGTGGAATTCCAAAAAAATCATCTACGATGAGGTGAAAATGCTCTTCTTGAAGCACTGTGAATGACTTGATTTGCCTTTCCTCTGAGGCCTGCTGACCATGGAAAGAAGATGCATGTGCAGAAACCACTGCTACAGCAAATCACACCTATATGGTTCTTATAGATAATCTTATATATATATATCATATAGATAGATGATTAGACAGATAGACAGACAGACAGACAGACAGATAGATAAATAGATAGATTAGGATAGGATAGGATAGGATAGGATAGATAGATGGATGGATCGATATATGATATATAGATAGATAAGATAAGATAAGATTAGATTAGATTAAGATTGGATAAGATTAGATAAGATTGGATAAAATTAGATAGATAGAGAGAAAGAGAAATAGAGAGAGAGATAGATAGATAGATAGATAGATAGATAAATAGACAGACAGATAGATAGATAGATGGATAGATAGATAGATAGATAGATAAATAGATAGATACATAGATCGATAGATAGATAGATAGATAGGTAGGTAGATAGATAGGTAGATACTGTAAATGCATGCTGATCGATACGACGACGAAGAAATAGAAGAAAACCAACCAAGGCAGTAGAACAAGGTCATACAAAGTCTCCTTGATTCCTTTCCTTTTAAAGATTCAATGACCAGCTTCAACCAAACTCAGATGTTCCGCCCATAAATTGGCAGCTGGGGCACGGTGCCATAAGGGTTGCATATACCCCGCGCCAGCAGGCCTTCATGCTCTGCGGCACAATGCCAAATTGCAGTTTCATCTGGGCAAAGGCAGAAAGTAGCGGACGGACCCAACCTATCACTGTGCCCTATGGCCCTATGGCATATTCCATACTGTTCCACCTCTCTTTCTCGGTCTCTCCCTCCCTTGCGTAGCTGATTTGCATTTTGGCCTCTTTAAAATCAGTTGGGAAAATATGGGAATAACATCTGATGTGCTGCTGGATGATCGCTGTGGAACGGGGAAAAAACAGCCAACCCTGGAAGGTTCAGGATTCCCTGGACATTTCCTGGCCATGCCAAGCCAAGCTGCGACCACAGGATAGATCCATTGGGGCATGGCCTTTCCAGCCTCGGGGCTCGAAACACATCGAGTCCATGTGGGATGATGCAAATGAGTCAGTTGGAGATTGTGTTGAGATTCTCCTCCCAGATTTTGGACGAGACCACCAACGTTTCTTCAGAATGGGTAGCAATCTGGGCGCCTGCGGTAGAGGAAACAACGTGCCACGCATCCCCGGAAGAGTAGACCTTGGGAAGAGCGATGCTGAGGCGAAAAGGGATCCCTACTTTGGGGCACACAAAATGTATGTATGTACTTTGTAATGTCAGCGCAAGATTTACTGATACTGGACGTCAGTGTGTGTAAGATATGTATGTGTATGTGTATGTATATATATATATATATATATATATAATCCCTTCCTCCTAATACTAAACGTCCCCCTAATACTAAAAACAGGCATCCATCTCCAATTTCCGAAAATTTCAGTTTGGCCAATTTGACTTTTAATTGATCCCCTTTAAAAAACAATTCAAAAATCAACCTACCATTTGTGGGTTCTCCCCCTAATACTAAAAACTAATCCACCCCGGGGTGTTTAGCATTAGGGGGGCTAGTCCTACTCCCCAAATCCAAGCTGCCTGGCTGGTCTAGCTGCCTGCATGTTTTGCTGCAAGGAACTGTCTGGCTGCTTGAAAAGCCACCCCTCTGCCTTGCTGTCTGCAAGGTCTTGCTGAGCTGGCTGGAGTCTTGAATTTGGAAGATCCCATAAACACCTATGTTAATGGTTTCCCTTAATTTTAGGGGGTTAAAAAACAAATTCAAGACTCCAGCCAGCTCAGACAGAAAGGCAGCCAGCCAGGGATGCCTTTCTGTCTGAGCTGGCTGGAATCTTGAATTTATATTTCCCATCAAAACAACAGCAATTATTGGTAATTATTTAAAGGTGACCCATGTAATAAGTTAATTACTTTACTATTATTCAAGATTCCAGCCTGCCTCTCCTGCTGCTCCCTTTTCTGTGCTGTCTGCTGGGAGCTGTCTGGCTGCCTAGCTGCTCAGCTGTCTGAGCAGCAGAGCCAGCACCACGAAAAAGGGACGCCTGCCTGTCTGAGGCGCGTCAGCCACGCCTGTCTGGCCACTGCCCATCTGTCTGTCCGCGTCTGCATCTGCTGGCTGTGTCTGCTGACGTCTGCCCCGAAGCTGTACCAGCTGTCCTGAGAGAAGTCTATATATGTGTATATATATATAATTATATATATATACTGTTGGGACAATAAGTAATATAATGAGGAGGTGGATGTAGGAGGAGATATATGTATATAATTCTGACTGTGTAAATATTTAATGATGGCAAGGTAATTAAGGAATTAATGGGGGATGCACATTCTTCGCTGCCTGTCTGATGGACATCATTGCTGCCTAGCTGCTTGGCGGTGCTCCATGCAGCACACCTTTTCCCCACCAAGTGGAGTTCTTGCTGGATGTCCTGCAAGCTGGTGAGAGCTGCCTGCAGGACCTGGGTCTGCTGTTCCTTGGCTGCACAAGTGGCTCAGCCAAAAAAAAGAAAGAACGCTAAAACAGCTACCTGTTGTGCTAATCACTGCCTGATGATTGGAGATCTGACTTGTCTGGCTGTAAATCACTGGCTGAGGATTGCAAAGGTGCGGTGGCTCTTGGATGAATCTCACCTCATGGATGAACCTGCCTGGAGCTAGCTTGGCAGCACAGAAGCAGCAGTTTGAGAAAGGACTTTAGAAAGGGAAATGGAAGGAGGTGAAGTAGTTTTTAGTATTAAGGTCTGGTGCTTAGTATTAGGGAGAACCTGCCTGGAGCTAGCCTGGCAGCACAGAAGCAGCAGTTTTAGTAAGGAGTTTAGAAAGGGAAATGGAAGGAGGCGAAGTAGTTTTTAGTATTAAGGTCTGGTGCTTAGTATTAGGGAGAACCTGCCTGGAGCTAGCCTGGCAGCACAGAAGCAGCAGTTTTAGTAAGGACTTTAGAAAGGGAAATGGAAGGAGGTGAAGTAGTTTTTAGTATTAAGGTCTGGTGCTTAGTATTAGGGAGAACCTGCCTGGAGCTAGCCTGGCAGCACAGAAGCAGCAGTTTTAGTAAGGACTTTAGAAAGGGAAATGGAAGGAGGTGAAATAGTTTTTAGTATTAAGGTCTGGTGCTTAGTATTAGGGAGAACCTGCCTGGAGCTAGCCTGGCAGCACAGAAGCAGCAGTTT